CAGTGTTCTGTGTATTTCATATACTATAAAAAGAAGTATTATACCCAGGCTGACTGTTGAACATACATTGTTAATATCTTGGTATGATATGAAGCCCTATAACGGTAGCTAGGTGACGGGTATTACACTTCCAAAATGTGCTGCTCAACAACATGGTGACTTCCTTTTCACACGGTGATACAAATCTCATTAGTGGTAATTGTATTTAGGACAAAAAATGCAGCAACTTGTTTGACAATAATGGCCAGTTATTGACAGCTTATCTACTGCTGTGTGACGTTATGTTGTTTACTGGTTCTTATTTCCAATCCAGTAAAGTTCTCCTCAGGCTTTTTTTCCCACAGTTATTCGTGTTTCATGTTGTCCTGATCGGGAGTTCGTTCCACCATCGAGGAGCCAGTACAGCAAACAGTTGTGACTTTGTAGAGCGGTCTTTCGTAGTGAGGGAGCACCAAGCCGATTGGCTGCAGCAGAGTGTAGTGGAAGGGCGGGGGTGTATTGGTTGACCGCATCCTGGATGTAGGATATGCCTGAGCCAATTACAGCACGGTAGCAAAGTACCAGTGTCTCGAATGGGATCGGAGGCCACACGCCGCCTCTCCCGGCCTCGGAGAAGACGGCACCACGGGTCGTCCCCGGGTGACTTTGCCCCTCTGTTTGGCTCGGCTCTATTGGCCACCCGCCACGCAGAGCGATCGTTGGCGTGCACACAGAGGAGAAGGGCTTGTTGTTATCAGGAATGATAAAAGCAGCGTGGTGACATCATAGTGTCCTGGAAAGAAGACCAAAGACGTATTTTATTATTATAGTGGACGGACTCTTAATCCGTACCAATGCATATATAAATACAATTAATACTGTTGAGGTGAAATCCAGCTCGGAGATGTGCGTCACACGCTGAATGATTTCCCACATGCAGTGGCGCGCTGCCACAAGTGTTGCCATTGGGATTAATCCAAATGATGCTCGCACATTTTACTTCCATTCACTGCCTTGAGTGTGGGCCGGGGAACGCGTTACAGCGGTCCCACGTGTGGTGGAATAGATTCACCTTAGTGCAATAAAGCTTTCAGCTGCTACTCTGAATTATTTACAGGCTTTAATTTGTCTAGTGACAGTCCACCGAGAATGATTGGTGTTTTTTTTTATTTTTTGCTGCAGCGCTTTGCTCCCCAAGACGTATTCGTATTTAACCCAGAAGGCTGTCGCTAATGGACGCCTAGCTCTGGATCGGAGGCTGGGTTTCAAACAAAGTCTCTCACGCACGTGCCTGGTCAGCGATAGATTGAAGTGGAAAAACTGTGAATCTGAAAATTGTGAATCTGAATCTCTGGAATTGATTAATGCCATCCTCCGTCTGACCTTTCTAAGAACTCAGCTTAGCCTCACTCCCGTCTCAAGCCCCTAAAGTCTTTTAGTTTTGAAGTTGCGAACCTTGATTGGGGCCAGCAGAGCAAGAAATTGAAGCTCCAACTGGGATACTATTTTGTAGGATTACACTTTCAGTGTATAAGACTATGATACAGAAAGAAGAACTCTGTTTTAACACCAGGAGCCCAAACGTACGGCGTACCTGTTAGAGTGAATACATCACGAGTCCTGCAGAGGCCTGGAGACCACGTGTGGGCCTCTACAGGACCATAACCTGCCTCAGATGCCTGTGTGGTGGAATCAGACGGTGGAAACCACTGTTTGAGGAACATTTATTTAGTTGCATTTAGTTTGTTTGTGATCGGAACACAAAAGCCCCGTAATCTAAACATCCCTAATGAATTCAACAACCTCCAATTTGCCGACTAAGTAGAGTTTCACAGTGGAAAATGATTCATAAATGAAGACTGGTGGAAGGACACATATACCATATATTTGTTTGGCACTTGGAGTTAATTCTGTGCCCTTGTCTTGTCAGAGAAAGGCTAGTTATCCTTTTTCTGGTGAGTCTGCAGTTCCAAAGAGCCACCCTGTCTTTTAATGAGCGGGATCCCATGGGTGAGACAAAGATTTAGCTTTTCGAGCCCAGAGAGTTCAATGTGGGCGGCGAGCGTTTCTTCTGTCCTCACTGGCTTTCTTGGGCCGCGATTGTAAGAAGAACAACTAGTCATTCCGTCCATACGGGGGGGGGGGGTGGTGTGTGTGTGCGCTCAAACACATGTGCACAAGTACTCTCAATATAGCACTCAATCCTGAGGGGGCAGAGAGAGCCGTATGCTGCAATCCATCCATCAAATGTTCAGTATTACATGAAGGGACAGTTTCGATTGATCACTTTAACACTTGGTGAAAAGCTCAGGAGACAAAGCAGACTAGCCGCTGGTGTATCAGCATGGTCTCTTCTACAGTAGCAGCATGAACGAGGCTGCAGTTGGTCTGTTCCCCTCAAACTCTCAGAGGCTGTGAATAACTGGAGAAATAGAAGACCGGGAGAAGGTAGCGTGTGAGGAAGGAAGGGCAAATGTTGAGTTATATTCCTGGTGACTTCAGTTCTTTGTGTGAATGCCAATAAAACCTTGTGTCTACTTCCTACGCTGTTAGCCGAGGCTGGGGTCGAATGTGGAAGAGTGACGTTTGTGCCGCTTTCCCAACAAATTGTCAATTAAAGGCCTTCACACATCAGTGATGTGGCGAAAAATGCAGAAATACTCCCCCGAGAATGTTATGTCTCTGGCCTTTTTATTGTGAAAGGTAAGGGGGGAAGGAGTGGATCTCTGCCTTTGTCAGGGAGCTAAACAGTTTGACCTCTTGATCACGACTACGGAGCCTCCGTGTTATATCATGAATACAAGCACAACTCGACCCGTTCCACACAACGTGATTGGCCGATGCCTTTATTCAAGGTACGAAAGCTCAGAAAAATCAACCTCGTTAAGAAACCAAATATGTCGCCTTTTGGTCGTGAAATATTCACGTTGCTGTGTAAGAGTACAAAAACTGTTGGAACGAATGTATTGACGTGAATTAATCGCACAAAAAAAGGTTAAAGGCCTTTAACAGTGGTTGGATTTTCAGCAGTTCACTGTGTTTCTGTCAATTCCTAGTCCCTCGTAGACTAATGCTGGGCGATAACGCAATACAATAATGAATCGTCTTTCAATAAATTGATAAACTCACTCAAAATCTCGATTCGAATTATTGTGTGTGTGTGTGTGTGTGTGTGTGTGTGTGTATATATATATATATATATACATATACACACTTTTTTTCTTCCTATAATTTAGCAGGAAACGTCTGTTCATTGTGCACCAAGATCTTGTCCATATCTTGCAGCCCTACTGTAGACCTGACCTCACATGAACTGACTCCAGTGAGAAGACCTAGATGTATTTATGACCACACTACGTGGCCTTTCAGTCACATCCAGTTCAAACCTCTCTGTGCTGAAGGAATCTCTAAAGCCAAACTAAATAGCTAGAATGCCAGTCTGATGCTCTTTTACTCCAGTTAGATTGTGAACTCCAAAGTATAACACAGCGTGGTTAGATTAAGTGCTCATCTGCAAACAACAGTATTATAGTTTGCATATACAAAACAATACTATAACCAGTTTTAATTTCAACATCTCTCTTGTTGTCGCATCTATAGGGCTCTCAGCTGATGTCTCCAGTTTTTTGTAATCGCAGCTCTGCGTCTCTTCTCTCTTCGCGCTATGGCTCCAGCCTCCGCCTTGTCATTCTGCTGGTTGAAGTTCTTCTACAGTTCTTCATGTTGATGGTATGTCATCAGTTTGCCTCGGTGGTATTGCAACTGAAAGCTTTTTTCCCACGCTGTGACTTTGTTGCGACACAGTCACAACTTCCAACGTTGCTCACAGCCGGGACTTTGAAACGCCTTTTGTTGTTTCTTCTCAGCTCTGCAACTTTTAAACTCTTCTAAATACTCAAAGTGGAAGTTTGTTTGATGTCAACGGTTCCCTCAGCCCGCTCCGTCAGTGCGCGTTTGTTTGTGCTTTTTCACACTGCTGTGTGTTCGGCACAGCTAGAGGGACTCGGCCCGCCACGCAACAGGTCAGCAGAGCCGCTTTGTTAGCCGTCTTGTTGCTCACACCGTAAGGACGTCTTTCAGCTTCTTACATGAAGGCTGAATGCACGCTAAAGTAAACTTGTGGGCTGCATTTGGTTACATTATGTCCACACTGAACGCAAAGTGAATTTTCGCCTTGTGTTACTCGTGCAAGTTTGACCTCAAGATCGGAAGTGTACCTTTGCGTCACGCACTCTAGATGCGCAATAGAGGAGGAGGGGCTAACCTTCATGGATACCAACAACGTTTCACTGAATACGGTTGTATTCAGTGTATCCAGGAGCCACACGTCTGATGCTGAAATAACTACACAGTGATTCATCAAACGATCTGAATTCAGGTCTGTCCGCAAGACGACAAGCAAACAAGCCCTCCGTTAAGATGAAGAGAGGTGTCTCGTGCTGCAATGCATGGAGGGGTTGGGTGGAAGGGTGATGATTTGTGGACACTGCTGACAAAATGCCAGTGTAAAGACACAAGCATGCTGCAACACTTTCTTTTCCCTTCCCCCTGTGTCTGGGAAAGACCACCGCCCCTAACATACATACAACGATCCGCCCAGGAGACTGCCGTCTGCTTCACCATCAGAAGATCGATGGTGCGGTTGATGCTTTCAAACCAATCCTTTTTAAATCAATCCTATGCTTCGTTTAGCTCACCAGAGCTGGACCCATTTTTATTTTATTTAGGCCGGTGTGAAAACTGTCCGACCACAAAAGTTAGGTATACATCGAACAGAAAATAGTGTTGATTAAAAATATCTAAGAACATAATCTTAGTTATAAACTCTGCACTTGGACAACTTTTGCATTATATCAATTTCATTTGATTGAATTTGAATGTGAAAACCTGAGGAACCGTGCTTCCTTGCATTGATGAGGCACTGATGTCCCCTGTAGCCTCTTCTGTTTGGTTTTGGTGGCGTGCCATGTCTGACAGCCCCCCCCCCCCCCCCCCTCTCTGCCTCTCTCCCACTGTTGCAGGTTCAACTACAGGTCGACTCACCACCTCGCCACCAATGGCTTCTATGAGTTCCTCAACTGGTTTGACGAAAGAGCCTGGTACCCTCTGGGTAGGATAGTAGGGGGCACGGTGAGTGTTTCTTATGTTGTTTGTTTGTGTGTCGTGAGGCTGGGGTCTGATTGTGCACGTGTGTGTGGTGCCTTCTTTCCCTTGTCCTTATTCCCCATGAGTCACATTACTGTATCAGTCATCCTCTTAAACCCGCTCTCAGCTACACGTCTCACACACTCCGTAAGCGAGTAGCTGGCTGGTCAAACGGCTCCTGGGGGAGGCAGGGAGTTGGCGGAGAGCACTGGATTTGTCTCCATAATCGCCAGAGGACAGACGGACCGGGGTCACTTTTAACACGTCATTACACCCCAACTCCTCTCTGAATGCTGATCTCCTCCTCTATTTGCAGCGCTGCGTGTGATCTCTCTATTTGGGGCTGATGAAGGGAGAGCTATCGCGGGCTAATCTGTTCACCAGAGTGCACTTAGGTTGCACATTAGCTGACGAAACAACAGCTTTTAGTACGTTGTTTTCACTGCAATATACAAGTCCTGCACCTCTCTCTATGGAAACGGCCCAACCATGGCTAGAGGTAGAGAGAACTCAAAAATGTTTATGTGCAGTGTAACACAGCTACAATGCCATAAATCATATATTACCATACCATATATTAAGTATTACCAATGTCAGAAAAAAAAAACTGAGGCCAGACATGCTAAGTATATTTAATTATTTACATTTTTACAACCTATACTTACAGCCTCTCCTGTCCTCTCTCACTGTGTCCAGCAGCCTGCAGATTCACGGTATTGTTATCAGGTGGCTGTTTCTCTCAGACGAGTTAATCATTGCTTCCCAGTTGCACTGAGGAGCGCAGAATTTAATATTTTCACAATTTTAAGCTTTGTTCTGCCTTTTCTGACGATAGTGGTCGTCACATGATGTGTTCAAGGACCGTCAGAACGCTGAATATTTGACGATAATGATGGTTTTTACGGCTTCTTGCTGTGACAAACCGTATAGTTTGGGCGATGGTTTAAAGAAAATGTGCTTTTCAATTCTGCCGCTGTCCAGCAAGGAGAGGGAGAGAGGTGCTGAGCAAAACTCCACCGTAAAGGTCAGTCCACCTTAAGTGTGGGCCAAAGTTGTAGCTAACTTCGGGACTAACCCCCTCCAGCAGTCGATCACAATCAATCAGTATTTACACTCCCACTCTAAAGCAACCCTTTGGCATCACATGTCACTGGAACGACATAAAGGACAAAAACAATGCTCTACTTAAGAAGCCAAGTTATTATGCTCTTATCTTTCTATTGGAGCGTTTATTGAGATATTGCATTGAACATGTCTTTGCCGTCAGTATTTACTTCACAGATGCAAACCACAGAGGCGAATGTAAGTCTAAGCTGACAGGTCGGGTCAACAGTAATGGTTTTAAACTGCTGCTGGGAATCATTTGTACATGATTAAACATAATATCATTTTCGCAGTTTTTGTTTTAGTTTTTTGGAGTCAGCAATAATTTGAACATGAAGCACCAAACTGCAAACAAAAGGTGAAGTTTCCATTCCTCCCTTTGGTTTGGACTCTGCGTAGCTTTGTTCGCCTCTGCTCTGCTGTCGTCCCCGATATGAAGAAAACTCAAATATGCTTTGTTTTCTTCAAAGATTGTTTAGTGCGCTGGAAGTTCAGTAACGTTCGCTGCCATCACAACTTTGGTTGTGGAGGTGATGATGCCGGCTGGTAAAAGCCCAGCTTCTGTCCAGGGCCTCTGTGAGCTACGTAGCAACAAGTTTGTTATGTGGTTATTATGGTAATATTTAGTTTTATTTATTAAATAAAGTAAATGATGTCGGTCACAGCAGTGGAAAGATGCTTAAAGCAGCATTTTTCAGTCGGCAGTATTGGTGCTCTTCTTATCACATACATATTACATGAGAGCAGAGATGAAAACGAGATCTTTTTCGGGGGCCTTTATTGATGACACTTGACTCCTCACTTCACCGCACACTTCCTGTCTCATCTTCCCATCTCTCCTCCCTCCCCCCCCAGGTGTACCCAGGCCTGATGGTCACGGCGGGCCTCATCCACTACGTGCTCAACCTGCTGAACATCACCGTCCACATCCGGGACGTGTGCGTGTTCCTGGCGCCGGTGTTCAGCGGCCTGACCTCCATCTCCACCTTCCTGCTCACGAAGGAGTTGTGGAACCAGGGGGCGGGGCTGCTGGCGGCCTGCTTCATCGCCATCGTCCCCGGCTACATCTCCCGCTCCGTGGCCGGCTCCTTCGACAACGAGGGCATCGCCATCTTCGCCCTGCAGTTCACCTACTACCTCTGGGTATGTATTTTACATTTTTACTGTAGCAAGTATGAAGTTAAACCTCCATGTAAGACTAGATAAAGGAAATGGTAGGAGAAAAGGCCTCGGCAGCATTATCCTCGTTCAATCACGTGATCTCGTAAAGCTAAGTGTTCATTTAAGATGTTTCTCAATGTTAGGAGCAGCTAATCCAACTAGCAAATGCATGTCATTATCAACATACACAAGAGGTTCCAGTGTCTCAATCGTGATGCGTATTAAAGTCAGGAGGACATGGTACAGGTTGTTTGTGATTATAGATGTATTACACATACACAGATGTGACCTTCCTCTGTCCGCTTCTACTCATTTATTCATCCCACTGGTCCTCAGTGGTTTGTGCATGTGGCTATAATGGCTAATGTTATTAAAGGACTAGCATAACCTGATTTACATTAACATTAAGCCTTGTTTCCATAGAGGCTAATAAATCACTCTGAATAAATCACACAGGACAGAATGAGTTTCATAATAGTCTCTAGTGATTGCATCCATTCCCTTCTCTACCCCAGCTTCCCTTTCTCCCTCGTTTCCTTCAATCCAGCACATCTCCAATTTATCCAATCTCCTCCAGCCAGTAACGGCGGCTCCCACCCGGGCCTTCGTTAAGTCGGGCCTCGTTAAGCCCTCATTAGCCGCCCTCGCGCAAGGTAACGCTATGTAGGACGCGGCGCTCCGCTTTGTGCAGGTCGTTAACGAGGGAGACATGATGAATAATTCAGACAGTTGTGTCGGGTGAGCAGCAAAGGAGCCAATGCTCGAGGCAAAACAGTGAACGGAGCAACTCAGCTTAGTGTAAGCATATGATGTAAATTAGACTGTATGCAAGTGTGTGTTGGTTAACGCTCTGCTATGTGAACTACAGGTGAAGTCAGTGAAGACGGGATCTGTCTTCTGGTCCATCGGATGCTGCCTCTCCTACTTCTACATGGTGAGAATACACAAAAACCTCTATCTTCACGTTCATGACATGCAATACATGGAAATAGCTTCGATATCGCCCTTTGTGTTTGTCAACATGATGCCAGAACAAACAGCAGGGTTTTCCCTTTATAAGACTTGGACATTGCGCAGATATTGTGCATTTTTGTGAACAGAGCCTGAGAGTCCAACTTATGTTTTTGTTTTGGTTGTGTGTTTGCATAGAATATTTAAAAAAAGTTTACGTTCTCATTCTAATGTCTGGGTATTGTTAAGAATTAAACTTCTAGGACAATATATCGTCTCAATAAAGGTAATTATTGTGACAGGCCTACCACATTCATGTCCTAATCTGACACTTTAAACCTAACCCAAACGCAAAATGTAAATCCGAGTCATAAACTCGAGGGAGAGCACTGTGTAAATTCCGCACTGACTGAAACACAGAAACCGTGCCACTCACAGATGGCCATCAAACTGTGTTTGCCTCACGTCACTGAGAGCAAATTGACTCAGACAGAAAAACCCTAAAAAGGAACAATTGGAGAACCCTTTTCTTTACCCACCGATCGTTCAGCCAGACTGGGGTGAATCTGCGATGAGTCATTTGAATGCCTCGCGCTGTACGCTGCGGCGCCTTTTGTCTGGCAGCTGCTCACCAACCGGGGAGTTACACTTAGAGACAGTGAGCACAAAGATTGAAAAGAGGTGTGTGTGTGTGTGTGTGTGTGTGTGTGTGTGTGTGTGTGTGTGTG